GTCGGATTAAGGGAATAAGACATATGCGATATCGCTCTTGAACTTAGTCAGGGACGTACGAGTCGGCATTAGATAGGTTAAAAAAGAAAAATGCTAAAAATCGTATGTCAGAATAATAAAATAGGCTCACGAGCCTCCAGGGTATCACTTTATTCAATATCCACCCCTTTCTTATTAACACAACATGTAATTCAGCTTGTAATTTTATTATGTGCAAAACTTCAATCCTGTACGTCGTGTCGAGTTGCCACCACATTAACAACAGCATTATTTTCTTTCTTCCCCACAACACAATGAGGGGTATAGCGTACCCTGTCCCCTTTTTAATACATATATTAAAAAAGGGTTGCCTGCAGGAATTACCGATACTTAATGACCATTTTTGCTTTTGCCGCTGCACAGGAAGGAGTGCTCAAAATCCAAATCAAACATCCATATATTGCTAGCGAGAAGGGTAGGTTTTCCCCTTTTATTGCTAGTAATAGGACGTCTAGATGCGAATTAGTAATTTTCACATAGACAACCTGATATATATGTTTTTATTTTTATTCGTTTTTTTTTTTAAATTTAATATTTAAATTTGAATTTGGATTCATGCAAAACGTTTTTCTTTTTTTAAGATTCTCATCAAGTCTATATTTGTCCCAAAATATTTACGATTAACCCAGTGTGACCTTATTGTATTCGTCAGGTGCGGGGTGTGTCGTCGCAATATTTGTGAAAACGCCTTATTCACAGAATTACAGCCTCATTTAAATAAGATAAGTTTTAACGAACATCTTAAATAAGCCACAAGTTATGCCATCTCAGTAAATATTAAAACACAACTTTTTCTTAGTAATTTATCTCGTCTTAGCATCCGTGTAAAAAAATCATTTTAGAAGTTTTAAAAACAAATCCTAATAAAGGATAACGACTTTTAAAGCATGGAAAGGGAAACTTTTACATTTCTATGGTAAAACGCGGTCCAAACTTGTATCATAAAATATACTGTTAAACTTCCAACAGACTTGACAGAGTTGTAAATAAGCTTTGAAAAAAAAAATCAATCCTAAATCACAAGGTTCTTTTTTCCAGTGGGGCGTAGAGCAGATGTTTCATTTTTCCATTTTCATTTTTTCAGTTGCACGGGAGCGTCTTTTAATAATCATCATTCTTGTTTGAATAATTTTCCGAAAAGTTTGCATTTTTGATTTATGTTTTTTTATTTTTCAAGCCATCGCTTTGAAGCACGAAATTATATAGCATAGGGTCCGTCAGTTCGCTAACGACACAAACTCTGAATTTATACTTCGAAAAATATCAAAAGCCACATTATGTAAAATACAGGACTAACTAGTGGTAGGGTCCTTTTATATAAGCATGGCACTTCATTTAATTCCATATCTACAGCCACAAGAGGGGACTTTGATTAAAATTTGGGCATCTAAATAGGAGACTATTTTCGAATAAATATATGTTGTACATACGTACATACGTATCCATATTCACCCTCATATTAGTATGTTCCCAGATGATGCCCCAAAATTTTATTTAATTGCTGTATATATTTGTCTATTCTGGCAATTTTGAAAGTAAAATTTATGCTCGACTTATCATATCAATTTAGCAAAAGGAGTACCTGTTTCAATTTTACATTGTAATATTTTCATTTTTCATGGGAAAAAGAGCTAATAGCCGCTGGTCGATTTACCACAAAATATAACAAATGGCTTTCAGGCATACACATAGTGATTTTTGCTCTTTTTTTTTTTAAATTTAAAAAGCAAATTGGAATATTAGTGAAAAATAAAACTAAATTGTGCATGCTTTGTTCAAAGCACAATTGATTATTATATAACGAGAGTTGATCAAAGGAAAAAGCAAATATAAGCTACTATAACTATCATAAACGCACACAGAAAATTTAATAGCAATAGCTAATTGTTACATATGTTTAAATAATAATATACAACATTTTGCGAAAGGTTTTAATAATGATAGCATCCAGCAAAAGCTGTATTGTGTTTGATGCTCGTTGTTCTATATCATATCAAGTGTATATTCGAAATATGGGGATAGTAAACATTGAGGCTTCACAAATTAGCGAATATAAAACTTGTAAAAATAGCATAAAATCTGTAAACAAAAATATATATCGTAGTAACGATTTCTTAGAGAAAAAAGCTACTACAAAATATAAAATATAAATCGTCCACTACAATTCTGGTCTGAAATATCTAGCTAGAAATGTTGTTAAGTCGTATAAAACCACGAATGCCTCATCAAAGCCAACTTAAAAACCCTCTCTTGATTGCTGCATACCACAAAATAACCGTCCAGAAACCAGGAAGCAAGAAGATGTTGGCCAAAGAAACAACTTATCTAACAAAATTTAATCCTGCGAATTTTCCTCTTGGCTGTTTTTTTTACCGGCTTTGCTTTTGTTTCCACTTAACTTGCGAGCTAATTTAACAAAAGCACCAAAACGAAAACTAAAACGTTTTTGCTTTTGTATAGTTCAAACATTTTGTCCCCTGTTAAATGCAAATTTAAGCGATGCGATGGTTTGGATTTTTTTTAGAAAATCTTACACGAGTTGCCCTTAAATCTCTCACCCAGTAATACTAATTTCAGTCACACGTTGAATACACCTAGAGTACATAACAAGCCTATTTATTACCTTTTATTTTTCATTTTTAATAGTTTAAACAGTGAACTAAAATTTTATTTTTATTTTCAGGTAAGTAACTGATTACATTGGTTGGTAAGTAAATTTGTATTGACGTAGACAACTTTTGAAACTATGTAATCAAATATTTTCTTTGTTCTGTAATCTCCAAAGTACACTATTAATAATTCAAACTGTAAATAATAGATCTGGTAATAAAATACTACCCCATACTTTTCTATATCAATTATTGATTTTGAGTGAATAGCATTACATTGTTACCAGAAATATGTATTGGAAAATGTCAAATTGATACCCTAAATAGGAGTCATAGTTGGCCCTACTTAATTATTCTTTAATGATGCATTTTGAATACCTGTCTAATATTGAAATTGGTTAAAATATACATAGTGGTCCATTTAACTCTCGATTTACCCTATGATACCATATAACTTTTATTTGGACTTTTTTTTGAAACCGCGCCGTTTTCGTGATATATTAGACTGTCTTAAGTTAAATGGACCACCCTGTATAAAGGTTTTACAGGGGCGGTAAATCCTGATCGTGGATACATCGTATGTCACTTTGTCAGCTGTTGTCGAAATTAGGCCAAATAAAAGACGACACATGCTAATTTTTTCTCTTTGATTTGAGCATAAATACCTATAAATGAAGACAACTATTAACTTATGTGGTGGTGTCGTCCTATTGGCAAGCTAACAATTAAATGAACAAACTTAAACGTTGCCTTAAAAAAAAAAAACAGTTTTAAAGAATTAGGTAACTGATAGATCGCAAAAATGGAAATCTCTTTTATTGTTTTTTGCTTCTTTTGAGTCTATAATCTTGAATATTTAGGGACTTTAATAAATTAAGTCAACCCCTAATTTCAAAATGGAGGCTAACACGGCACTTTTTGAACTCGGCCAACTTTAATTTAAGCTCTCCTACCATGCTTTCAACTTTTTGCACTTTTCACATACATTTTCTAACGACATTTTTCGAGTAGCATATTTGCTTCTGACTTATTTTATTGTTACGATCAAACATGCCAACATTTCCAAGAAATCCTTCCAATCAGACAAAAGATAATTTGAATAGAATCCAAGGTATTATAGCGTACAACAAAAAACACATATCAATTTCCTGATAAGGTTTTGTAATTAAAATAGCAGCTTTGTGCAAATTCGGAATTTCCACTAGACTTGCTTAATTAAATTTGGTGTATCACCGTTTTGTTTCTTCAACTGGCTAATAAAAGCAATTATTTCTCTTCTTGTTTATGGACCCTATTGCATCTCTTTTTTATTTAGAAACATTAGCTCATTGATTACATTTTCATCTTTTTTTATGTTCCCCGAGTGATGCGACTTCAACTTTTTAATTTTCGCTACCCAACCAACATCCGTGCTGTTCTTTGACCTCCCTTTCGATATTCCTAGAGGGGTCGTTTTATTTCATTTTCCAGCATCCTCCGAAGTAATCATAACACAATCGTCGATAATTTGTCGAACAAAATGCATTCTCACTCTCTCTTCAGATATAATTTAGAATTCACTTTCTTCGGTTACAGTCACCAGATGGTTCAGTATCAAGCTTTAATTATATAATAACAAGAAATAAAAATAATATTTCAAAATCAATTAAGAGTTGTTGATATGTGATGAATTAAAGTTTAATAAAAAATATAAAATTTTTATGAAACTATTGGCCTCGAACAGATTATTATTAAATATCCAAAATTTGGCAGCAATTGAACGTAAAGTGTCGTTTTATTAGTCGAGAAAAAATATATTTTGCCATTCGACAATTGGTCAAATTAATGAGTTTTGCATAAAGATGTTTCAGTTGAATAATTCATTACAACAAAACTCGCTCAGGTGAGCTTGATATCGCGAGAAAATATTTTGGAGTGCGTCTTTTAATAATCAAGAAGTACCGCATTGCCTTCCTCCTTCCTCTCTACGTTCGGGCTGTCTTTTTTTGTCTCTTGTCTTCGAAATTGCTCAGGCAGTCCATCAACATTTGATTGAGTGCAATTAAATTATTTACTAATCATTAATCGCTTTTACTTACCTAAATTTTTACAACAATTCTCTTATTTAAATGTACTGACTAATTCACGAATCCCCCCTTTTATAAACAAAACCATTTAATCGAGAAATCTCTAGAATCACGTAAATGCTCGTTCATTCAAATCAGACAATGGAATGGAATATTCGCGCTGGGTCGTTAGCAGAGGTGCCGCACTCTCCGCAACAATATACTCAATTTCGTATCATTATGAAAAAGAAGCTAGGATGTGAAATTGTAATGTAATCTGAAACATTGAATGCTCATGACTTTTCACCTGAACTATTTTCAGAATTTCTGTAGAATCCTCCTTTCTAATCATTTTTGATTTTAAAACACCTTGTGGGTGGTTTGTTGGTTCGTATATAAGCGAAACTAGCAAAAATGTTTGCATGCTTGTTTTAGTGGTTTTGTCTCCGCATAATCTGGAAAATTCAAAATTGCGTGCTAGAAATTCTCAATCCTCCCCGTTCTCATATAGCAATATAGCAGCAATATTTGTGCGATTTTCAAATATTTTCGTTGGTATTTTTCAAAAGATAAGAAATTTAAATTATAAATCATAATTCCATCGAGAGTTCACTGATATTAAAACTAAAATCCACATACCATAGTTCGCGTTGACGCGACTAGATGAATACTTATTCAAAGAAAATTCTCCAGAAGTTTCGAGAGTAATTCATGCTTCAAGTGTTCCTTTTATACCCGAAATTAACTATTATTTTAGAAGTCGATTGCCGCGAGCATCCTAAAGTCAGCTTCGAGGGTGCTGATAATTCAAATCCTATTTCCGGTTAAGGGCTCAGGTTCTTTTCAGGAGTTAACGTCTATATTCAAATTGCTTTTTGTAACGCAGGAGAGACGTATTCATACTTTCAGTTTTGGCTTAGGATATAGTTAGATTGACTCTAAGCTACTATAATAATGATATTTTTATTGATGAAAAGTATTTTCAAATTGCAAAGTGAATCCCAGAAATAAATTATTGATATTTTGCTAACCTGTTGTTGTAGTTAATGAAACCATCAAAAGCATATATCTTATCATAATTCTTTATATATTATTGCTTTATGGATTTTGTTTAAATATATTTTTGATGCAAGATGGTGCACGTGGATAGCGAAACTGCACCAGTACGCATTCAGAATACATCTATATCTAATGTTAAATCTTTAGGTCGAAAATCTTACATCCCAAATTTCGTGCTTATATTTTAAACTTTCGTTAACTTGAACTGTAGGTAATAGGCCAGGCAACATAGGCCGAGTAGGGGGGTGAAGCCGAATTAATTCTCGGAAAGCTGGAAATGTTTGTAATCTTTTCATTTACGTTCAAAAAGAATTTTTTGAAGTTTGCACAAATTTTCTGCTCGTGCTCTAGACGGGGTGTCCCAAAAACCTGGATATTTCCTGACTTTCACAGTTTTTTCCTAAGAACTCCTAAAATATGCATTTCTAGGAAATTTTATGGATTTCAGAAATTTTTACTCCTCTCTAAATTAAATTACACAAAATTTTGCGTCGAATGAGTACCATATACTTAAAATTGTCCCAAGTGGCTAGGAAAATATGCAAAATCTAACAGCGACGATATTTTCCATTAAAAAAAAAATGTGGTTTTTACTTATTTTCGCAATATTATGTTGTAGCCCTCATTGCATACAGTCTAGTTGCATCTTCAGTTGGAGGAAGTATAGCAAAGTCGAAATTATTCTGTAGTAAGGATTTCCTGAACAGTTTAAAGCGTGTTTCATTCAAAGTGGAAGATTGAAGAAGCGATCTGTCATACAGAGCCGCAATTAATTTTTCACCGGCAGCAACAATTTCATCTGCAGTCGCGTCAAGGTTTTTGAATGTCTCGACAGTCCTCCGACGTACGTCCGCATCTTTGTCAAGCAGCTTCACAAACTTCTTCCCCTGCCTGAAAATGGCTGATATTGAATTGCATCCGCTAAATGCGCGAAGGAATAATATATTTTCTTGCACTTTATTTGATAGTTTGAAGTGTCTCGGGGAATAGAAGATGGTCTCTGACCTTCCTCTTCCAGGCTTCATCGAAAACAACCAATCGCTATTAGGAGCTAACACAGTAATAATCACCAAAACACATGCGGAGAGTGTAGCATTTTCTGCCCTTCTGACGATGGTTGATGGTTGTGCTGGGTTTCTATTCTCGAAACCGGAAAACAGCGTTCTGATGAGAATGCTTCTTCAATCTTCGTCTTTGAATGAAACGCGCTTCAAACTGTTCACGAAATGCAATGAGGGCTTTCCTACAAATTGATTTATGGAATTGCCATTTGATGGACTCACTTCATTGGGGTTGAAGATTACTAAGCATGGGCTACTCCCAGTAACATCAACAGCCGAACAAGCCCCGTACGAATTGCTTGATAGCCCTGCGTGCAAATGTTTGAAGTGGTGTCAAAATGCTTGTGGTTGCAGGAAGCAAGGATTGAAATGTTTCCCAATATGTTTTAACTGCAGAGGAGCATCCTGCTTTCCCAGCAGATGAAATCTATGACCAACCAAACTTTGATGACGACGAAGTATTGCTACCTGACGAAGATGACGTATTGGAAGATCTTCGGGATGACGATGACCTTAAATTGGACCAATTGCTTGCGTCAGCTTCTACTTTCTACTTCCAAACGCAGCAAATCCAGTCAACGTTCGACGTTGTATTTACATAATTTTGTATTTGTCACTTATTTTGTGTTAACCACTGTTCGCATATACGTTCCGATACATGGTATGATACTATAGGATATCCAAATGTTAAAAACTTCTATTTTCCTAAAGACTTGAAATATAGTTGAGGGATGCTACTCATTCGACGCAGAAGTTTGTGTACTTTAATTTATAAAAGCGTAAAAATTTCCTAGAAATGCATCGTTTAGGAGTTATAAGTGAAAAACTGAGAAAAGTCAGCAAATTTCCAGGTTTTTGGGACACCCCGTATAGAGCACAAGCAGAAAATTAAAAAACTCTTTTTACACGTAAATGGAAAGATTGAAACCATTTCTAGCTTTCCGAGAATTATTTTGCCTACGAACTCTATGTTGCCTGGCCTATAAGTCATATTTTGAATGATGAATAGGAGAGACGTCTATCTAAAATTCTCCATCAAAGTTAATAGCTGCTGCTTATCAAAAACTAATTAATTTAATATTTAAATTGCTGTATCTAGTGGGCGATTTTAAAAAAGGTTTCATTTTTAATGTCAGCCTTTATTTGAGCTGCTGTCGTGTCAAATTCTTGAATGTGTTTTCAAAAGCAAAAATATCTCATGTGTAACCATTTGCTTACATTCGGTACCAATTTAGTACGAATTTTGAATACTCTTTGGTAGGATAACAATTTTTTTTTTTACGGTTTCCATTCACTCGTACATCCTGTATGGTATAGGATAGTTGGCCGAACAGTTTAAATGTCGAATTCGGATAGACCGGTCAGTCCCTAAGGACTTTAATATCGTCTTAAAGACCGCCCTCTACAACATGCTCTGAAGTTTGCAGCAAAAAGGTCTTTCAGGTTTTTAAGTGTCTGGAGGATCTAAAGATTTTTTTTTTTGTCAATTGAATTACCAAAGGAAAATTATTGTCCTATGTGGATTGATACATGAAACTATTATAGTGAAAAACAAGAAAACAACAATATTTTTTTATTAGGCTCAGGGACCGCTTTTTCTCTAAACCGTAATAAATTTCTATTGTAATTCAGTTTTGTAATACTTTGGAAGACTGAACTTTTATAAATTGAGTTCTCCTTGGCGGTCGCCAATTTTCATCACGAGCGATTTGTGTTAAAGTAGGCTTGTTGTCGTCAGCGTCGTCTCTTCCTCCATTCACATGGGGGGAAAAATCAGAATTTAAATTCGAAGTGTAAATATTAATGCCCGCTTATTTTCTTCTTCGGGAGCGTAAAAAAAGCCGAGAAAATACTTTCTTTTTATTATGTTTGTTTACGTAATAGATTTTCCTCCATAGGAATTTACATATTTTATTCCGCGCACGCCTATTCTCGTTTCGCGATTATTTCACTAATCATATTTACGGCCCTTGGCAGAAAAACATTTTCTTTTTTCTTAACGATAAAAGAACTTTGTATATCTAAATTAAATGGGAAGCTCAAAATGTTCACTTTCGTTTTTAATACACGAGCTTTGTGAGAAAATGAATATTAAAAAAAAGCTTCCTTGAATAAGTTATTTCAGTATCTTTTGCAAATAATAACCTTAAGTTAAATTTCTAATTGACTTCTCTCTTTTAAAATTGCGAGTAAAATTGGTATAAGGAAAATAATGATAATCCTCTTAACCGTAATGAAAGCTTTCATTGTTAAAATTGTTGTCAAACGAATACTGTCTTATTCTTTACTCAAACCACTTTTGCTTTCTCGGGAAGGATTTTGTACACATTTAATCAAGACGAACAAAAAGTACGCTTTTCCTCTTGAAAAGAAGCTCGAACCTGGATATTTATTTCTCTGAGATTATAAAAATAATATTTGAACTTCCTAATTATTTCCGCCGTTTTGAAACATAACAAATACAACCTTTTTTGTTCTTGAGAAGTTTTGATTTTTATAAAAATAATATGTATAGGTTCTACATTCCCTACTACATTTTAGCAATCAGTACTCTTGAGATAAACAATTTGAGCAGGAGTATGCGAACCTTAAACAAACACCTTGAATACAATTTTGCCATTTAAAATTCCATTTCTATAAATGATAAAATATATTTTTCCTCCATGCTCTACGAAGTAAAAATACCTACGTATGCTGTTGAAGTGAGTCAATCATTACTCAAAAAAAATAACAGCTTTAAGTAGAAAGTTTGGTCTACATACTTCCAATGGGGACCTAGAGCGTTCAAAACGTTGTTTAAAGAGTCGAAATGTGGAAAATATGTTTTAAGTGGAAAAAATATGGGAAACTCTTCCGATGATTAAAAATTTTTGGCAACGCTGTAAAAATGGCTGCATGAGAAGCGAGGTCGATAAAATGAACTCTGTAAACAATCAGATTCACTGTTTGTTTTTAAACTTTTTTCCACTAATGCCATCATAATGCTCTTTGAGATATAATCGGCGATTCTAGCTTTAAAAAAAAATCAAATTTCTTGTTCTCTAAAATACATATATCTTGGCAAGTGCGAGATTCATACCTACTAGATCTTTTTTGAAATTAAAATAGCTAATGAATAATGTTGTCATTTTTTTTTTCAAATTCACATCATCATCATAACCCAGCCATTTCCGCCCGCTGCCAGACCTATATCTCCTCCTCCAGATATTTCCACATCTCTCTGTTTTGAGCA